TATACATACACACATACATATACATACATAAAATATCTTCCTAATTATCTATAATATCTATAATACAGAAATACTGTCAAAAAATATAGTGAGATTTACTTGCATTCACCCCAATATGATGATATTTTTTGTGTGTGAATTTTGAATCAGAGGACCTTGAGTTTCAATGAAATCACTAGAGGGTTCTCAATTCTTGCTCGACGCAACTCTTTTCGAAGGACTCTTGGGAGACACAACACCCTGTCAGACAGTCACCCACGCACCCTCAACAAGGTAAACCTTTGACTAATTTCAGAAGAGCCCTCATTTCCTCATCTCTCTACTATTGCCAAGCACATGGAGTTCCTGCCATGCTAGCCATTAGCAGAAATTCCAGTAACGACTTTCAAATGTTGGGTTGAATTATCTCAAAATGACAGACTTGATTGTGTTCGATAGCAACTTGATTGACATTCACCAACAGAAGTGCAGCGGTATTTTGGTCATGATTGCTTGAACGATAATTTTTGATCTAATCTAAATGTGAGTCAGAGTCCGACAGGAATTCGGCAAAAACATATCAATAACAATACAACAAATGTTAAGTGTCACGAATACACAATCATTTCTTTTCAATGACCGCTCTTCTACAAAAATGACTTCATTCATTATGTAATGATGGAAGAACTGCAGCCATGGTTTCACTGTAAAAACTTTCAAAAAAGAGCCCACGCTTCCTCTTGCGGCATGTTACCATGGTAAGACTTCCTGTTCAAGCAGGAAGTTATATTGTGCTCAGAGCACATCTCATATGCACATCAGAAACAACTCACTCATGCACTCATTAATAATCTAAAGTTCATGAGAATCAAAGGATATGTCTCTGAAAGGGAACAACATTGGGATATCCAACGGACTTAAGGTATGTTCAGAGGGCGTGACACTGTAAAGGTGTGTGTTGGTTTGTATGTGCAAACAGAGAACTGCCACAAAATATGAATATGATAATGAAAATGTGCTTGGTAACAATGAGCTGACTATTTGTAACCTTATCTGGTCAGGTTATAAGGCTAAAAGTGGCCTTGAACAAGCTAATGTAGAGTTGCAACTACTTTCTTTCATTCAGGGCAAAAAATAATAGTTTTAAAAAGTCTTTTTGGCACTTCTGCTTGATTCTTTCCTGCAGATCATTGAAGATATAAGCTCTACTACATTACCCTCTGCGAATGAGAAGATCAGAGAACAATAATATCAGTTAATATGCAATTTGGGGGGAAAATGAGCAGCCATTTTGTCTCAGACTCCAATTGTGTGTCACATTTTGTTGTTTGCGAGCGGAGAGCTCTTTCCTTCAGTCTGTCTCAATCGCCTGCAGGCATTGAATCAAACGACATTCATTTCCAAAGAAATGTGCTTCAACCGAGTCTCAAATGCCACAGTTGACTGTACGCCGTGATCCAGCATCTATATTTTTGATTAGTGTACTTTATTACAACTCTGATCAATATTATTTCATTTTCCCACAGACCCTGGCTGTTTCAGATGGAGGTGAGTTATGCTTTAATAATGGTTTTTAAAGGGGAAATGGAGGATGAACGATATGTTTCCCTCCATTATGTATCTTGAAAGGCAGCAGGGGAAAACTGTGTTTTCATACTTTATCCACGTGGCTACTGAACAGACATCTAGGTTCAACATACATCTAGGTTTAGCACTTTACCATTGACCTGTTTACATTTGGTTTTTGGGGGCAGGTGTAACCACATCAGTTTCCTCTCTCTGTTCAAGTGTCATAATGAGACCGGGAGAGCAAAAACAGGTAGGCAGGCAGACAGACAGACAGAGGTATAGAAAGTCATGTGACTGTCTGGAAGTGAGGACAATCATCGACAGATAGCACCAGTATAATCATCAAGCGCCTGATGCTAGTCATCAGTGTGACTCTAATTCATGCTTGGGAAATTCCTCAACTGCATTTCAGTGCCACAAAAACAAGTGACGAGTGAAGTGCCGGAATAACGGAAGAAGAGCTGTAGAAAGCATCATTAACAGTTTTTTTTTTCGGTAGCATTTACCGAGACAGTTTAGCAGTGCACAAACACGAATGGCACAGAAAAAAAGTGTCAGATTGATGAGCTGATTAATTAGCATGTCTCACATTCCCACAGCCTGAGGAAGACAAAACAGGGCTAAATTAGTTCATGCGCCCGTTGACAAAATATTGAGATTCTCTGAATGGCATGTTTGTACATTGTTTTTTTTTTCACTGTATCATATGCAGTGCTTTTGATTTGACATTATATTAAAATAGAAAACATCAGTTATTAGAGCCTAAAATAAGATGAATTGTGTAAAAATTGGCACATTTTTCAGCATTGATAAAACCTTCACACTCATAGCCTTTTTGTAAAACCAAAACTCTCCTATGTGACCATATCAAAACCATATGTGACCCTGGACCACAAAACCAGTCATAAGTCGCTTGGGTATAATTGTGACCCATCCAATAGGCAAAAATACATTGTATGGGTCAAAATTGTTGCTTCATGCCAAAATAATTTTCTTTCATGCCAAAAATCATTAGGATATTAAGTAAAGATCATATTCCATGAAGATATTTTGTAAATTTCCTATCCGTAAATATATAATTTTTGAATGGTAATATGCATTGCTAAGAACTTCATTTGGACAACTTTAAAGGCAATTTTCTCAATATTTAGATTTTTTTGCACCCTCAGATTCCAGATTTTCAAATAGTTGTATCTCAGCCAAATATTGTACTATCCTAACAAACCATACATCAGTGGAAAGCTTATTTATGCAGCTTTCAGATTATGAATTATAAATCTAATGTCAAAAAATTTACCCTTATGACTGGTTTTGTGGTCCAGGGTCACATATTTGGTGTAATATAATTTTTCAGATAAAGTGGGACAGATCCACAGAATTTTTTTTTTTTCTGATTTCAAGTTTATAGCATGCATATAAAAAATATTACATTTAAATCTTTTTTTTCCTTGGAAGTTGGAATCTGGTCAAATTGTGTTGTTTTTGTCCGTGTTAGAAAACTGCTTAATATTAGCCGATCAAGATTGAAAGTTTCTGGAAGATTGTAGTGAGTTGTTGTAGTGATTGTAGTGAGTTTAAAGTTTTTGGAAGATTGTAGTGGGTTGTTACTTGTCCCCTAGACAGATTGATCAAGGCTTACGAGGTCAATTACCAGCTGGTAGTCCATCTGATACATAATTTCTTCATCTAATGACCATAAATGACGAAAATGGTTACCCTAGAAACAATGTAAAATTAACTACCAGACTAAGAAACACCATTATTTCATTACAGAAAAAAGGTGCAAAAGATGTCACGGGGGTGGTACCCCTTCAAAAGTTACTAATATGTATTATTTTGGTACTAATATGTACACTTGAGGTACTAATACTGTATGCACATTTAAAGTATTAAAGGGGTTTCTTGAGGTTTACTTATAACGTTAATAAAGATTTTGCACAAAAAAACCAAACAAATAAATATGTGGAAAAAATTATTATTTTCAACCCTCGTTCTGACCCTCTCTCTAAAATGACCTGTTTTTAAGGGGCGTGTCCTTAAGGCTTCTGAATAATCTGCAATTGTTATGATTGGCTGACGTCAAAATGATAATTTCCAGACAAAGCATTATGAAATCCTTTACTTATGGTTTGTGATGCAGCTGCAGTCAGATCTAGTACAGCTTCCTATTTCAACAAATGTTTCTTTGTGAACTCTCCATGACAATTTGCCTCGTTTACAAAACAAAATGCTCTGATCAATCCTCTGACATGATCCGGAGTGCCATTAAAAATGAACTGTCCACTTGTTCCTTACACTGGGATCCTTCTGATATCTGTACAAAGACGAGAACGAGCTGTTTAAACCAAACGCGTCAAAACGAATGTTCTTTCACTCCATTTTTCTTATTGACAGACTCAAGCGCGTGGACTGTGTAAGAAAGTTAACGCGCATCTGTATACTGTATCTAGTGTAGACAAGTATAGCGGCTGTGATTGTAATTTCTATTTGCTTTTGACACGATGCGACACTTGCATTCAAGCATAATCAATTTTAGCAGGTACAAGCTGTAATGGGCAGCTCTATTCTGGAAAAGGGGGCGGGGAGCAGCAGCTCATCTGCATTTAAAGAGAAACACAGCGTGTTTCTGCTTCCACTCAAAATAGGCATTTTCAAAATGATATAATAAAGGATCTGTGGGGTATTTTGAGCTGAAATTTCACAGACAAATTCTGGGGACACCAGAGACTTATATTACATATCGTAAAAAGGGGCATAATATGTCTCCTTTAAGCTATGAAATTTGAAGGATGTTTTAATGGTACAAAGACCTCTTGCATGCCAAAAGATCAAGGCAAATTTGATTTCTCATGCCATTAATATGCACCTTTTAAGGGTAAATCAGGTACAAAGGTGTACCTTTTGAAAAGGTACTGCCCTAGTGACAGATTTTGTACCTTTTTTTTTTGAAAGACCATTTATGGATAAAGACCCTTGTGAAAAAGTCTAATTTAGCACACTTTTAAGCAAAGTGAATATTATGAAAAAATAATATGCTTAAGTGTAAATTGAATGCAAAGTTTTTAGACACTTAACTGAACGTTGATGGCAGTTAGACGAATTATATTTATTATATTATAGTTTATAGAGCTTTTTGACCCACTTAAGTAGGCCTACATCTTTATATGTAATTTCACAATTTATTCTATTGTCTTTGAAATGTGGTTCAAGTGTTCTGCCTAACATTTATGATAAACTAAAATCTACTTTATAGGGTTAGTTCACCCAAAAATGAAAATTCTGTTATTAATTACTCACCCTCGTGTCGTTCCAAACCCGAAAGACCTTTGTTCATCTTCAGAACACACATTAAGATATTTCTGATGAAACCCGAGAGCTTTCTGACCCTGCATAGACCATGTTCAAGCCCCAGAAAGGTAGTAAGGACATCATCAAAATAGTCCATGTGACATCAGTGATTCAACCGTAATTTTATGAAGCTACGAGAATACTTTGAGGTATCATTATTTTTGCTTTCTTTGTGTACAAAAAGTATTCTCGTAGTTTTGTAAAATTATGGTTGAACCACTGATGTTACACGGACTATTTTGATGTTCTTACTACCTTTCTGGGCACTGAATGTGGTAGTTCCCTTGCTGTCTGCAGGGTCAGAAAGCTCTTGGATTTCATCAAAAATATCTTAATTTGTGTTCCGAAGATGAACGAAGGTCTTACGGGATTGGAACGGCATGAGGGTGAGTAATTTCAATTTTTGGGTAAACTATCCCTCTAATGTCATATTTTTGAAGCTTGCATGCACTGAACAAAGTGATTCAGTAAATTTACGAATTTTTTTTAAAGGGTTAGTTCACCCAAAAATGAAAATTCTGTCATTAATTACTCACTCTCGTGTTCTTCCAAACCCGTAAGACCTTCATTCATCTTCGGAACACAATTGAAGATACCGGATCTGGGTCAGCGCCGCCACACGCTCGCGTCATGATACTGTGGTGAACGCGCATCCACAAGTGACGCAGTAGAGTGGTAGTTACCTTGCTGTCTATGGGAGGGTCAGAAAGCCCTTATATTTCATCAAAAATATCTTAAATTGTGTTCCGAAGATGAACGAAGGTCTTACGGGTTTCGAACAACACAAGGGTGAGTAATTAATGACAGATTTTTCATTTTTGGGTGAACTAACCCTTTAAGGTAAGTGGTTGCAATGACTTTATTTTAGCTAAATTGAAATAAACAAATTTAGTTGACTAACTTTCAAAATTTTTTAATATAAATGTAGCTAAAATAAATTGTTTGCAACCACTTACCTTAAAAAAAGTGTGTAGTGTATTTAGATATATTTGTAATTTAGTACATATCAAATATATTAACTTTACATGTAATATCGAAAAACACACTACAGTTAAAATGATTATAAATGACTTTACATGTGCTTTTAGAATATAACATATAAAACAATGTACTTTTTGTAGCATGACAAAAAATATTAAAACATTATGATTTAAATGTACTTTAAAGTACAATTTTAATTTGACACAATTACAAAGTACACTTAAAGGTATACTTAAGTGTGTTAAAGTTAAAGTTCTTGGTGGATTTTTATTCTGTTAATATTTAATATATTTTCTGCAAAATCATTTATTTTATAATAAATGCTCTTTAGCATTCTCTTTGTCTCATGGGTGATAGAACTGAATGTACTGGAAACAGATGATCGGTCAGTATCACAGTACTCCAGCAGTAACACCAGTCTGCCCACCGTGCCCAGTGAAGGGAGCAGAGGGGTGGGTCAGGTGGCCAGCTGGGCCGTCAGCTTTGAGAGGCTCCTGGAGGACCCAACAGGCGTACGCTACTTCACAGTGAGTAAAGCACCACTATTCGTATAGCCACAGCAGTGAGAGTGAATATTTATCGACATATCAAGGGGGTTTAAGGGAAAACATTGATTTGTTTACTGTGAAGGTTTATTTCACAAATGGCTCTTCTAATAGCACTCGACCCAGACAGCAACATCTGGCCCGTGTGAAATCCGGATCTGGGCCGAAACCGGTTGCTGTCTGGGGAGTTAACTGGGCAGGATGGATGCTGGAATGAACTATGTATAATGTCTAAGATTGTCAATTTTATGCATTAATTTAGTCCTTTTTAATACAAAAAAACAAAACAAAAGGCAAATGGAGCAATTCAATGTTGACGTACCACTTTAAACTGCTGCTACAGGCAACTTAGCAAATCTTGCAATTAATTTAGTTAATATTTTTAATTGAATGACAGCCCTAAAAAACTGGCTGATTTTTTAAAAATATATAAAAATTCAAAACACTGCTTGCTGGTTTTCCAACATCTATTACATATAGCAAGCTAACTATCTTACTCAGCAGACAAAAGCAGAAGTGGTGTAGAAATAAGCCTTTGCTTCTAGTTTCTAAGTGTACACGTCATACAGTTCTGTACTTACTCACTTCTTAATAAAGAGAGTGCTGCTGAGAGCTGCTGCCATGTTGCTCGGCACTCTCATTTGTTTACCAACCAGGCAGAGCAAGTAATTCAACCCCAATTCATTGTGAAATGTGTAAAATCAGAAAAAAAAGCAGGTGAGGAGGAAAACAGCCCACAGCAGGGCTGGTAATAAAGCTCTTCTGATTCTGATTCTGATTCTGATTCATTCAGTCAAGATAGAGGGGGTGGAGTTATGAGGTTTACTGACAGTTTGAGCGTAAGGTTTAATCTCAAGCTCTTTTTAATACCTTTCATTAGCTAAATATTTGTAAAGCAGACAGACAGATGTAAAGGGTGACCAATATCATTGATTTATTGAAGGAAAAAAAAAGAACACCATCACCAAAAAAAGGGCACTTCGGAGTGTAAGGGCAAAAAGGGCATGTGCTCTGCACAGGTTGGGCCCTACCTGTGCACGTGCCTGGCCCACAGTATGAGTCACTGTAATTATAGGGAAATGAGGAGGTTGTAGAATGTTTCAAAGGGGGGGCTGGAAGAGAGCTTGTGGGGGAAAGGAAATGTTCAGGCGTTTAGGTGAGAGAGCTCTGAGATGGATACACCTCTGTGAATGCTTCATTTGGTGGCCAACAGAGATGCCAGCTACACTGTTAGACATTTCAAAGGGTTTTTACAGTAACTTACAGAAACATAATGGGGAAAAAATATAAGCAGCCAAAGAAAACTTAGCCATCTGCAAAACCCAGGTGCTGCTCCAAAACGAGGCCACCACCTTTGCTCACCATCCACTTTGTTAGTGACAGAATGTCTTCTCTGAAAAACAAGTAGAAATGGCACACTTTTAAAAGGCAAACCCCAAATAGAATATACAAATCTCTCAAAACCATAGTTGTTCTCTTACCATGAATTATCAGTCTCAGGGTGGCTGGCCTACTCATGTCTTTCTTGATGCTTCATTGCAGTTGCCTTTAAAACACAAATACAAAAACTGCAGTAAATCTTAAATTCCGTTAAAAACTATAACAAACAAATTCTAAAACTACAAAGGCAGCTAGCCATAAATCTTGTTTAACCTAGCTAACATACGATTTTATCTTCTCAATAGGCTACTGGCCAACATTAACTACTAACACCTGAACAAAATTTCACATTAGTTAACTTAATGCTAATACAAGATAAGCGTTGCTCGTTAAAAGTAATTTTAATTCGGTAATTCAATAAGCTAACAAAAGTCGTTTGAAACGACAGCACAGCGTACCATAGTAAAGTTTGTTACCGTTATGTTGACGGGTAAATGTTACTATAATAACTTTCTTATCTTAAATGAATTGTTAAAATTTAAATTATTATTATTATTTGTCTTTCTCTATAGGTTTTCTTTTCTTTTATAAAACTTTCAATCATGACAACTGTCGAAATTGATTTTAACAGCATTTTAACTATAAGAATGGAGTGTAGGTAGGATTGCTCTTGGTGAATTTGATACACTGCTGCTGTCATGAGTGAAGGCTTACTGCTTAGAATTACAGAAATTATGATACATGCTGCTGAAGCTGCAAGATACAATAGAGAGAACCCCGTAGAAGATGTAGACAGGTGGTGCTAGGGAGGAAGAGGGCTAAAGAAAATTCTCATTGCACACAATACTATTCTGGACCATGTCAAGATGCAAATAAATAACATAAACAGGAAGGATAAATTGACTGTGTTGCCAGCTTAAAAGAACCAATCAGCTAATCAAAATTGTTTCATGACTTGAACACTGCATGTTATAATTTTCATCAATGCTCTATTATTATTCTTAAGAAATAGAAAGGAAAAAAGCAGATTCTTTGCAGCATAGGTCTATTTAATGTTAAAAATAGGTTATAATTAAAAAAATGTAATATTAGTAAAAAAAATGCAATTATTTTACACATGCAATTATTGAATACACATACTTCTGGTGTATTCAAGTTTATTTATTTATTTATTTTTTGTTATAAGTAAGTTGTACATTTACATATACATTTAGTCATTTAATGCAAAAATGTTGACACAAACAGACAGACAAACGTACATATATTTTTTACCTTGCTTATTCTCTTGTAAGGTGCATCGACACACAGCGCAGATATTCTCCGGAACTCTTCCACTTTCGCGGGTTCATCCCCGGGCAAAACCCGCGGCGCTGCTGCGCTGGTTCCGTGTCTTCCTCGGACGCGAGTGGCGCGGCGCGACTTGGCAAAAGACAATATAGAACCAATTATACTATCTACAGTGGATGCGGACAGTACAGTGATGCCCCGGTATATTTCTGACGTACTGATGTACTCCAAGCGCTCGCGCTGTTTCTGACAGGAAGGACAAACGGATTTTCCAATCATTACAAGCGATGTAACATCCAGTGTAGTCAGTCCCAAGCTGTTGCGGCGTTGTAGACACGGTGTAAGTCAAATCTTGTCAATCCAAATGTGAGAAATTAGGAAAATAAAGCAACCTCAATAGAATGGTGCCAAAGAGGCCATTACGGCAAATACAGTAGAATACAGCAATTTTAAAAAATACAGTAAGTCACTGTATGTGGGGTTTGACGTCACAGAAAATTCCCATGATGCAAAGGGTATTACAGTTATTTACTGTAAAGCGAATTTGCAGTATTATACTGGGTGATATACAGTAAATAACTGTAGAAATTACAGAAATGTCTAACAGTGTAGAACCAGAAATGTAATTGTTGCCTTGTTTTTAATAATAATTCAGGTGATGGTAATTATCATGTGTATATTCCCACCAACACATGCAGTTCATCCAGATTTGAGGCATATTCTTAGCGTGTCCCAAAATTAAAAATTTGTCTGTATTCACCACAGGGATTTCTGAAATCTGAGGTCAGTGCTGAGAACATCTTGTTCTGGCTGGCATGTGAAAAGTTTCGCAAGATACCTGTCCATCAAACCGAGCAGGTAAATATTAGTATTTTATATCTCTCCACTATTTTATCATTTTTTCTTTTTATTAATTCATATAAATAACATAAACATTATGTATGTTTTCTTACTCTAGCTTAAGAAAGAGGCATCCTCAATTTATAACACTTTCCTGTCCAGCAATGCAACATCTCCCATCAACATAGATGACAGGGTACGAGTTGAGGAGAAAGATGTACAAAATCCTCATCCTGACATCTTTCAAAAAGCACAACAACAGGTATGTGATGTCATACCACAATGCAGGGTCCTCAACCACTGTTTCCAGGAGAATCTGGTGGTTCACCGTATCAAAAGCAGCAGACAGATCCATCAAAATAAATATAGAAGATTTGGAAGCCGCCTATGCCAGTCTTAGGGCTTCAACAACTGAAAGCAAGGCAGTCTCGGTCGAATGTCCACTTCTGAAGCCAGATTGGTTGCTGTCCAGGAGGTTGTTCTGTGTGAGAAAGGCTGAGACTTGGTTGAACACAACTCGTTCAAGTGTTTTTGCAATGAAAGGTAGAAGGGAAACCGGTGTGTAGTTCTCTAAAAGAGTTGGGCTAAGAGTGGGTTTCTTAAGAAGTGGGGTTATACGAGCCTGTTTAAATGTTGAGGGAAAAACACCAGTGTGAAGGGATGTGTTAACGATGTGAGTGAGTGCAGGTACAACGGCAGGAGAAATGGCTTGAAGGAGATGAGATGGAATAGGATCAAGCGGACAAGTAGTAGGATGATTGGAAAGGATGAGTTTAGAGACTTCTGCCTCAGAGAGTGGAGAGAAGGATGAAAATGAGTGTATGTTTGCTGGTAAGATGTGTTTGACAGTTTGTGGTGTGGCAAATTGTGCACTGATGTTTGTAATTTTATTAATGAAGAATGTGGCAAAGTCGTCAGCTGTTAGAGTTGATGAAGGAGGGGGAGGAGGAGGACAAAGGAAGGAGGAAAATGTTGTATCACCCGTTTCCTAAAATCACTTTAAATTTCAGGAACATACCTCAAGCAAAAAAATTCATCATTAAGAACAAAAAATTAATAAATGAACTTTGCATATTATAGAGAAGATTCGGTCAATGCTCTATTACTGTTGTTAAGAAATAGAAAGGACAAAAAAAAAACTGCATCTTTGCAGAATAGGTCTATTTAATTTTAATTGGTTATAATTAGCCATTTTTTGTCATATTGAATATTGGTATAAAAATTAGCAATACTGTTTTTACATTGTATTCAAGGAATACATTTTTTATTGGTTGTAGTTAAGTTGTATCACCAAATCCAACCTGGTCTCATAAAAATACGTACCTCGGTACTTTTCTGCAACATCGTTTTTACTTACCTTACTGCACGTTTCACTGCAGTTTCAAAGAGAAATGTCCACTGAGTGGCGCTAAAACACGGGTTCAATATTCATATGTGAACCCTGGCACGTTTTTATTACGTTGATATAGGTACGTATTGCTGTTCGTGTTGGAAATATGCCCTACACCAAACCCAACCCTAAACCTACCCGATAGTGTTAACAAATGCAAAACTGATATAAAAACGCATTTATTGATGCAACTGTGTCATTTGAACTACCTTATATGCAGATTTCAACTGTTTTGTCGAACCGTAGTCACATGGGATTTGAACCGGAGCTCCTCACCTCTCAAGTACGTCTCCGAACTCCGTGAGCTACCGAACAAACCTACCATCTATGAAAACCCATACATATGAAGCTGGATATGTTGGATGCTAACATTCAAAAGCATCAGTTTTCAAATCTTCCAGCATATTAAAATTGTTTTGAAGTCATAACATAATATTCTTCAAGTAATTGTGCGAAAATTACGCTTTATTAATCAAAACTCTGTGTGTGAAAAGGACTAAAAGGTGTCAGAGTTTTACTGCCTCCAGTGTTCATTTCTTTTGGAAACTGCAGTGATATGTATTTATTGGTATGAATTTCGCGTCTTGTGAAAAAGTGCCCCCAGGTAAGTTTTTGCCATGAGACCAGGTAGACCAAATCCCTAAAAATTACTTCAAATTTCAGAGGTACCTCAATCAATTAATCAATCAATCAATCAATCTTTATGTTAATATTTAGAAGCCCCTGCTCATGACAGTGCATCCCAATTTAAAATGCTCTATATACATGATGTAATTAGAAAAATTAGAGCATTACCATTATAATCAACAAAGTTGTCTTCACTGCAAGCAGGCACCATCTCAAGTATCTTTTTCAATCAATTTCAAATGCTTTCAACAACAAGACAACAAAACAGCAGAGATTTTTGCATTGCTCAGGTGAAACAGGATCAAAAACCATATGTCTGTGAAAAACCTAAAAGACTATATGCTCTTTTGTGAGGCTTAATAAAGAAGATATGTGTCATACCGAAAATATTTTTCCATTATATAATAAAAAGTGACCAAGACATTTTTGTTGTGTCATATGGGGTGAGTCAAACCACTTTAGTTTAAGAACAGACAGCAATCATGACTCAATTATCCAGAGCTACTAAAAGCAATCAAATCAAGAGCCTACCCTCCTTTGACTCCCTCTTGAACAGAAGTGTCCTTACCTATCCTATCCTCTCTTTTCCCTCTCCCCCCTTCCAGATCTTCAAACTGATGAAGTTTGACAGCTATACTCGTTTCGTGCGCTCACAGCTCTATCAGAGCTGCATGCTAGCTAATGTGGAGGGCAGGCCTCTGCCGTGGCTGGACTCTCGTGGCAGACCCATCACAGCAACAAAACCCACCAGCAGCACTTCACCCAAGGAGCAAGTCAAATTCGATAGAACTAAGGAGGTATACATTTCTCAAAATATGCAAATTAGAAATGTTTTATCCTAATAAGAGATTCATATGAGTTTGTTGTTTTCCAGAGGGTAAAAGTGAAGCCTGGAACAGTAGATGGTGATGACGTGGTAGAGAGGAGGAAAGTCAATCTGCAAGGCATGATGGGAAAGGACAAGCGCAAAGAAAAGAGAGCGTCCTGGGGAGGTGAATTTATGATGTCAATATGGGACAAACTGAACTAAGAAGAGGCCTTTAGACGGTCTAATAAATTCTCTGTTCTCTGCCATTTCCAGAATCACCTATCAACTTCATGACTGGACTTGTGAAGAGTTCGGAGGTAACTTGCCACAAAGTCTACTAATACCAGTATTATATCATGCCATATCAGTACCAGCTCATATCAATACTGTTGTCGCAGGTTGAGAAATTAGTGGCACGCTCTGCAGACGGAAGGGTAGATAAGTACTGCTGTGTCTTCCTGCCTGATGGTACAGCTTCTCTGACCCCAGCCCGACCTGGCGTCACCATCCGCAACATGCTCACCGGATTGTGTGAAAAAAGAGGCCTTCCTCTGTCAGACATCATTATTTATCTACATGGCAAAGACAAAGTAAGAAGTGTGAAACATTTACATGTGCATTACCAGTCAGAATATGGACACATTTTACTGAATTTTGTTTGTCATGAGCCTAAAAACCTTTTTATATAATGTTTTTATAGACAAATAAAAAATATGCCTATGTATGAATTTCTTTTCAAATCTAAAATTTTTATTTTATTTTATGTGTTCATTTTTTATTGTTATTTCCCATTGGGTGTTATGTATAGCAACCACTGTCACTGGACCAGGACAGCTCTGTGCTGAAAGACCAGCAGGTGTTTTTGGAACTGAGGGTCACATTTGCGTGAGTGCTAGAGAAAGAAAAAACAACAACAACAAAATGTTTTAATAAAAATATAATTTTGTGCAAAAAAAACGTGCTAAAGTGATAGTCCACCCAAAATTCTGTTATCATTTACTCACCCTCATGTTGTTCCAAACCTGTATGGCTTCTTCTGCTGTAAGCAAAAGAAGATACTTTGAAGAATGCTGATAACTAAAAATGTTCAGTTCCTGTTGACTTCCATTGTACTTTTTGTCCATACAATTAAAGTCAATGTGAATAGAAACTGTTTAGTTACCAATATTCGTCAAAATGCCTTTTGTGATTCACAGAGCACAGAAGAAAGAAGTAATACAGGTTTGGAACCACAGAGGGTAGATAAATGATTTTTTGGGTGGACCCAAACAATCTGTTATGTGCACATGTGTTTGTGTTATGTTTCTTGTACAGAGTGAAGGTAGCCTTCACAGGAAAGACGATGGCCGTTGTGGTGAAGTCCAATAAGACCCTGCAGGATGCCCTCGCGGCAATGCTTAACAAATACCGCCTCAGGTCACAGGACGCCATTGTCAGCATGGTGAGGGGAGGCCTAGAGTGACCGGAACAGCCATTTCATTCTTTGTTGAAAGTTAATAGTTTGACCTTTTCTGATGGACCACAAATATGCAGGGAGACATTGACCGATTTTCCGGTTTCTCTAGTTATTAAACTGCAGCTGCAAAAGTAGGACTGACCCAGTACTGATCAAATCATTTAATGTTTTTATGTCCATCAAAGCCCCCACACACAACCCAGAAAAACGCAATACATGTATAATGCAGAAGAAACCTCTAGATGCTCTATAGTATTCATTATTGTAATGTATAGTAGCTTCAGTTCAAAACAATTCTTTTCACAATATGAGAATAAAGAGAATAAGAGAATAGAGCCTGCACAACTGAAGGCTCTCACTCTAACATCATGTTTTTCATATATACCGAATGTAAAGTAACCAAATTATGAATTAATTAATTCTATTATAAATTACATTGATCTGTCTGATTCAGCCATTATGTCAGTCATGTGCTAACATGTTTTATCATTTCTGTTCTCTATTTTCAGAGTGGAACTGGACAGATAATAAGTATGAACACAGAAGTCACCTCTCTGGCCAATAAGACACTAATTCTAGATAAAGGTATAAAAATTATATTTTAAATTCTACATCTGTCAGGTTTCACAGACAGACAGACAGACAGACAGACAGATAGATAGATAGATAGATAGAAAGATAGATAGATAGATAGATAGATAGAACCTTGGAATTTGCCTTTGAGCTTGAATGAACAGACAATGATCTATGTGATTTGTGTTCCACTCCCTGCTTTGTGGAGAACGTCATCTTCCATTTGTGTTGTTGTTGTGGGCCCTGTACAGCACTAAACCTGTCCCACACTAGACCCGATTACATTAAATGTGATATACAGATGGAATTTATCAATATTTCTACAATGGGAAATTATGATTCCTTTTTCTTCCCTGGAATCAGTCTTGTTAAAACAGCTCATTCTAAGGTGAAAACTGAATTCTCTCTGGCAGGTGTTGATCAGGCCAGCAGCCCCAAAGGGAACTTCTCACCTACTTCATTACAAGTGAGTCTACTGCTTTAGGATAGCAGAATTCAATATCTTGATATTCTTCATTCCTTCTTTGCGGTCTAACATCTTATGCATCTGTCACCAGGATCGGAGAGGTGCTGTGGATGCAAACATGTTCCCTCCAGGGATTTCCAGATCAGCTGCTCGGCAGAAGAACCCTGGATTGAGGAGAACCTATGACATGGAGGGTAAATGATGATTATCTCATTTCTTTTCTCTTGGTTTTCACCCAATCTGCTCATCTAAATGTATTGGGACTTTCAGGTTTGGTGGAGTTGTTAAACCGAGCTCAGTGCTGCAGTGCTGATGATCAGCGAGGCCAGCTGAAGAAAGAACATCTAATGCTGCCTCAGTTCCTCCAGTTACCCTTGGAAGAAGTGGAGGAAGCTGAGACAAACAGATCACTGGAAGAGCCCTGCTCCAGTATGGGGTCTCTCGAAGTGGATTCTCCTGCAGTACGATCAGAAACATTAGGGAAGGAACAATCAGAGAATGAGTGCTCAAACCCAGCTCGAGAAACTGTGGTGTGAGCTAAACGGACCTGTTACATCTTTTGCTTCAATGATCTGTCACACTGGAGCATGAAAAATAGAGAATAATGTTTCAGCAATGTGAACATGGCAGTCTTTGATGATGGACAATTGTCATTAGGCTTTTTTTTGATAAAAGCAATGATATGAAATATTGTTTACAGTAGATGTAATTCTGCACATGTTATTGTCCAGCTGCTTGTATTTATTTGAAAATGATTCACATAACAAAAATACATTCTGTGTACATGAAGACATTGCGTACTTGGCTTAAAGGTAACACATTAGCTATTGCATTAGTTATCAAGAATGAACAGTTTTTAAGCATTTATTAGGCTGGATTCATTTTAATTTATAAATGTATGAAATTGCCTTTAATATTAAAAACATATTAGTGTATGTAAAAATTTACATAAATATTTTAGGTCTTTATTGACTTTAACAGTTTCCTTAATGTAACATTTCTGGGTGAAACAGGATATTTTTGAAAAACAAAGGAGATTTGATTTTTTTTCTGATGTGTTTTTTTTTTTGATTGGATCATGAAAAGTAGGGTTCCATACCAGAATGACTTGAGTTATGGAGGCTCAAGTTCACCCTTGAGTGCATCTAATGTACCAATGGTTCTGTAATTAGGGGCCAAGCACCGAAGGTGATGTAAGTTTCTGTTAGTTGTCTTATTATTCCTCCCGAATTGGAGTCAATGGCAGCTCTATGAAAAGTACATAGGAAAATTATGAAAAATGGCACAATTATAGTGGTTGTAATGAAGAGTAATATGACCAACTTTGGGGTCTCTAAGACCTACTTTATTGTGCCACCACCAGTTCAAAAATTATATTTTCCAATGGTTATAACTTTTGAAGCCTTTATTCTAGAAATACAGTTTTAGTACACCTGATTACTCTCCTCAAGATGATCAAATTCAATATTACATGCCATTTTAAAATGTACTGTATTCCATTTTTCACACTTCTTCAAATTTGATCCAATCTGAGCCACACAACAGAATTTTGATGTTACTTTTTGTTCAAACAGGTCAAGGGATGGGGGGCAAAAACTTTTGAAATATTTGTCAGAAAATCATGAGCTTTGGTGGGGTTCACTGACAGCATGTCCTGAAGGTACCTGAGATGTTTACAGACAGCGGCAACTACTATTCAAAAGATATAAGGCTTTAACAAAAACGCTTATAACTTTTGAAAACTTTGTACAAAATGTCATTTGTGATATTATATTTCTTGATTTATGCTGATTCCGATGATATCTCACATGTCATTTTCCAACATTTTGCTGGTCCACTACTTTTAGGTATACATTATGAAAAACAATTTTGTTTTCGCTACTTCTACAAATCGTTTACACTTTTGTCTAAAATCAGTTCCTGTTTGGTGCAGCTTCAGATAGTTCTGAGCATAAAATAACAGTCCTGCTTTGCATTTCTATACAAAACCTTATGCATTTTTGTGCCTTTGAGATGCACATTGCAGTCCCTCGGATTGTTTCCTGTGACATTTGACATGCTTGTTGTGCTTACCGTAATTTCCATGCTTGCTGTATTTGTTGTGTTTGCTGTGCTTTCAGTGCTTGACCTTGAATTGCTGTTTGCAGATATATTCTGCTTTTATTACCATAACTTTTACAATATTTAATTTAACAGATAATACAGTTTTATGCATTGGTATGCAGAATATAATCTCACTTCCTAAACCATATAACCGCATTAACTGTTCCGAGATATAACAACAACAGCCTTAGCCTCTGTAAATGGTACGGTGGGCAGTGGTCATTCTTTATTTAGTCTTGGGGTGTCCAAATCTGTTCCTAGTGGGCCACTGTCCTGCAGAGTTTGGTTTTAGAAAAGTATAGTATTCCTAGTATAGAATTCCTGAATGGAATAGTTAACATTAGACTGTGCGTCACAAGTGACATAATCCAAATAGGGAAAACAATTCAGAGATTGTTTCAATTGATTACATTTTGTTGAAAGATTATAAAAAAACAGTATTTTGCGTCCACAATAACACATGAACCTAAATTAAATACTATCATTTTTAATTTCATTATGATTTTAATGGCTTAAAAGATTGATAATGTCTGGGCTTCTGTGAGGAGCTCTCGAGGTTTGTTGGTTTCGCTTACTCATGGTGTGTTCTGAAGACATGCAACTGCCCCGGGGTGAATAAAGAGAGAATGACAGAAATGGAAGGAGGTAAAATAGAGGCAGGGAGGGAGAAGGAGCTAATGCATGGAGTGTACTCAGCTAGTAAACTTGATGCTGATGGTTCCCTAGGCTTTAATAACACAGACAAACCAAACACACAGACACACACACACACACACACACACACACATTTTCCCCTAGGGCACCTTGTCCTCAGGAAAGTCTTCATCAGGGACATTATTTTATGGTCTCTGAATGGACATTGTGTAGCGAAGTAATCAGACTCAATCAGATGACCAGCCCCCAAGCTAAGGCACAGACAGAAAGAAAGAGAAAGGGAGAGAGAGCGAACGAGAGAAGAGAAGGGATGGGAAGGCAGAGAGAGAAAGAAGACTGAAGGGAGGGAGGCGAATCTGTGAGGTGAGGATTCTGCCTTACATCACTGAGCATGTCTTTGTGAGGATACGATTGCTACTGTTCTAACTCGTTTTTAAAGGTCTTGTTTGTGTTGTTTCAAGCAGAACAGTGCTGCACAATTGCGTGTCTGTCCTCAATGAGTGTACACTGAAATAACAACAGGTTTTTTCAAGGTAAGTCCACTTTAACAAACTCCAATATGTAATGTTTCGTTTATTTTAGTTTTTATGCTGATTGCAGCTTATGCACCAGATTTGTATTTTTTTGGTTTTAAAATTTATTTATTTTAAAAATTAATTATTTTTTAGTCTAGGGTGTTGATGTCATCTTAACCCTGTGTGTGTCAGAAGCAGAACAGTTCAATCAAAAACAGAGAGTCTGCCACACACACACACACACACACACACACACGCACGCACACACTTGTTCTTCTTTCACACTGGGGACTTTCCATCGGCTTTTGTTGTTTTTAATACTGAGCTAATGATATGTCATATCCCCTAACCCTACACTTAACCTTTTTCAGTTTCATTAAGATGTTATTTTGCCTGCTATGTAGCTGTTTTCCATCTTGGGGAAAATTAGCCAGTCACCACAATGTAGGTGACTTCAAGTTTTACTATCCTTTTAGCGACAATTGTCCCCTACACTGTAGCTAGACCCAGACACACCACAGCTGCACCCCACTTCCCACAGAGTTCATTCAGATTAGCCAAATTAATCATATGATGTGTATATATTATTAAAGATATTATGTAAATTTGCTTGTTAAAATGTACTGTGTCATTCTTTCTCAAGTATGAAATGCATGTAAAGTATGTGAGATGCTATATGATGTTAAACTGTCAATCTAACCTTGGCTAATATGTAGTTAAGGAGTCAAAATCTAAAAAAAAAATTATTAGAAGCTATGCACAGAAGTGTTTTGGTGCTGTTGTTATATCAGACAGTTCTGCATACACACACCAGAGAGAGTCTGTCAGTTTTACTAGAAGGTTCAGTAATGACATTTTAATTAAACATTATGAGGTAAAAAAAAAAAAGTGTATGTGTATAGTATAGTGCTGTCCCACAGTCCTACAATTGATTTAAATATAAAATGGAAACTCTAAAACTAAAGTTATAAACTTTGTAAAATTTGGGGTAAATTTCTCATAGTGACTCATAAAACGGATTTCCTGTGATGTATTAGATTGCGACGATTATCCTTCTTACTCTTCCAATTTTAATAGATGTTTTCTGTTCACAACAATTCAGGGTTTGTGCACAACATGTTCAAAACTGATCTGAGATGAATCATTAGATTTAGTTGGCTTGGTTTATGGAACATAATTGTCTTGACTCATCTGCCAGTTAATTGTTCATGACAGAGATGAAAAGTACAAAATAACGACTATTTTAAACAACTTGAATGATTCAGTGTAATCAAAAGGTAAGGTGAGGTCAGGCAACTTAAATGAGTCAAGCTAATCATTTTCTATTACTAATTTGAATAAACTCAAACCGCATTGTTGCAACCGTTCTCCAGAACACTCTGCACAGGCACAAAGTTCACCTTGCTCTGTTTCGAAAGATGAAAAATCACATTTTGAGACAGGGGTCCCTGTAATTTAAACCCACCCTGGAGGGACACCGCCCTTCACAGTCGTTCCTTCATCTGCCAGGCTTCTGGTACCGGCTTGTTGCCATGGTAATACCGTCCGGTGATGCAGTCGTAAGAGCTGTAGAGTCCTAATTGGCCTCAGTCCTGGGTGAGATTTTGAATAGCTGCTTCCGTGCCATGCTCTTGTTTAGAATAACTATTGAATACTGATTAAGGATTCTGTTTTAAGGATATATACAACACAATTCTGAACTGAGATGCAGGAGGAAAATGGAGGCAATTTTATTTTTATATTTTCTCTCGCTTAATAGTTGCATCTCATTTTAAAACACTCTCGCCCTCTCTATTTATCTATGTATCTATATCTCTATTTCGTAGTCTCTCTCCTGCCAGCAAGTACACATGCGTGCAACAGGGCTGATGGTTTGATGAGTCACCATCTGCTGTCTTCTAGGTGCTGACATTTGCACCAATCTCATATTTGAGGTCAGACTCGCCTCAGCTGGTGGTCTTTTTCTAGTTGATGTGACATTTCAAGTGTCCTGCAGGCAGGGTTGCCAGGTTTTCACAACAAAACCTGTCCAATTGCTACTCAAAACTAGCAGAATCACGTTTCGAGGGGGGTCCACAGGTAAAAAACTCATTCTGTGGGGAAAAATACACATTTTTTGGAGGGGTACCCTATGTAAAATTCACATTCCAGTCGCTAAATATCACGTTATTGGGGTGCTTCAACCTGCGGACATGAAAAACAAGCCACGGCAACAGTGTTAAATTAGCCCAATTCCGCAGGAAAACTGCAGACTTGGCAACATTGCCTGCAGGGTGACAATTTATAGTTCCTCTAAAACTATTTTGTCTAACAACAACAACAACAACAATAATAATAACTGACAGTAAAGAAATTGATATTGTTTTAATATTATTGTTATAAATGATTAATATTATAAATATTCTATGTCAATTATAATTAATGAATAGAATATACATGTATAATATTAATTAATAATTTACCAAATAAATAAGTAATTAATAAGTAATTATTGACACGTACATGCTGACCTCACATAAAATTAATGAGAACTTTCAATATTTGCACTTGTATTCTTGTACTATTTTTGTACTATGTTTTATCACACTGCATGAACATTGAATTTAATTAGATTAGTCACCGCAGATTGATGGGTCCTTTAAATGTAATATGTTACTGTAACTATCAAGTCATTTACCACATGGCTGAAGCTAATTGGTCGCTTCTGATTCTGCAGCCAATTGCACAACTTTCTCTGAAATCCTCCACCTCCCCCAGCTCCACCTGTCTGGAACTGCTATGGGATTTATGTATGCCTATTTATGCAGCAGCAGTATATCTTACATGCTCACACATCTCTGTCTCTATTACCATTTGCAAGTCCATACTTGTAGCAGTGTTTTTAGCAGATCTAGTCCACCAAAACCAAATACATTAACATTGTCATATCTATTAACATGCTAAAACGATTCTGTAAGTTGTCATGATTGAAGTTAACCCTAACTTAAATTATCTTGAAAAAATAAGAATGACAAATTGCTGTATTATATGTCTTTATTTCTTTTTTTTTGTGCATACTGTACTTCAAGAGGAATTGTACTATGGAATTGTGCTGTTTTATAAACTGCTTGCCTTGGATTCATCATATTATATTGTATCTCCACTGCTTTGCTTGAAAGCTCTGTCTATGCATTGGCCAATATATGAGCTACCATGTGTTTGCAGCTGAAGAGGTTTGAAAAGTGTTGATGAGTCATATCAGTGAAAGGAAAGACTAAGCACACAGCAAATAGATGCAGTCAGCCTAGGCTTAGTTTGCCAAAGCCTGAGATTATTAAAGGCATTTGTGCAGTCAAGGTTCTGAGCCATCAATAACAATGGAGGTTCAGATGATCTCATAAACAGAACAAGCCCATGCAGAGATTATTTATTTGAAGCTGAGATGGCATTCATAAATGCATTTAGCAAACATCAATATTTCTACACAAGCAGTTTAAGATATGATGTGTGCAGAAAGAAAAATACCTAAGCTAGTCACAAGCTTATTTCTGCTTCAAAAGCTTGTTTTTTTTTTTGGTAAAGTGGGTCCTTTATTCAGAGATGATCCAGTGAGCATTCACTTCACTGTTCTGCTCCAAATTTTGGATCGTATAGCACAAATCATAAATTAAATGGAGCAATGGTTTATTAAAATCTTTACTAGAATAATAAAATGAGTGATGTTTAACATTTAGTGAATAACCTGTAATAAAACCGAGCAGCATCTGGGTCACAAAGATGAATAAATAAATAAAAATAAATACATAAATAAAGAAATGGATGTAGGCACCATTCAAACATCTAAAACAACATGACAACACTTTTAGAAAATGTAAAATATTGTTGTTTTGGGATATTCAAATTCAGGTTTCTGTTGACGTGTTTTCAAGGGTGCCTTTTTACCTCACAAATGTCTCATTCTCAGCTACGCCTACAGTACCTTGCCATGGGATTCCCACCAGAAGCAATTTGGAATTGGTTTGTTCGGTGACAAATATTCAACAGAGACTTGATACAAAAAGTTGTGAAAATGAGCCAGGCTTCTAAAGAAGACCCATAATCTCTGTGGACCAATTACAGTTATCATCCTATCAAACAAAAGAGTGACATTCAGCGATGAAGACTGTCTTTGTGAAGTATTATCATGGCTAATGTTGTTGTTCTCTATATCTCTTTCATATTTTCAGATAACCAATAGCGTTGACTACATTATCTAGAGACACAGCTGATTTCCCTCCTAAAGTCGAGACATGGAAAGGACAGAGAACAAAGTGAGTGGAGACTGAACCAAATGCAGCGAGCATCACAGAATACAGAGGAAGCTGTCCTAATAGAAAACACAGATGTTCCATTTGTGCAAGCAGAAGATTTTCTAGCCTTAACCCATATTATTTTCATTCCCCCAAGGTGTCCACCATCTACCCACAAAAACAGACAGTAAAAAATAGATCCAAGTCCACAGAGGAGGTACAGCAAGCCAAAAAGGTAATGGCTCTACAGAATGCTAATGTCACACACATTTCAATTTAAGTGAACCTCGTCTTTAATGTGACTTGTGTGCATATAGATGACAGTGTGGCATTGGTGCATCAAATGAGATGATGATTAAATGGGCGGGGACTGTGTGTCAATTTTCAGCTTCTAATGTTAAAGTACATTACTAACCTCATTGTTTTACACACAGTAGCTACTGCCCACAATAAAAACTATGTAATGTACAAGCAGTGTGTCACTCTACTAAAGATTTCAGCAGCTGTCCAGCACCATCTAGTGATGTGGTCGAATAATCTCTGAATGTGTGTGTGCTCGTGCGTATGTGTGTATTTACTCAGGGACAAAGTATCTCTACCTTTCTTTGAATGCATAGTGACTTAGGAATTTGTAAAAATTATTTATATTTATAAAAAAATATAATACAATAATAATAATAAAAATAATAATAAATATTACTACTACTAGTAGTACAAGTATTTATTTATTTATCTTTTTTGTAATAGACAAAATATCTCTGCCTTTCTTTGAGTGCAGAGT